TTTTATTATTATTATTATTATATATTTAAAACAAACTATTTGAAGACCAGAAGTCATATATATAAAAAAAATATTTAATCTAATAACAAAAATAATTATTGATTATTAATAATATGTCATATTACTCAAGAGCATTATTAAAATCAAGTAAATCTAATTTTACATTAGTGCAAAATTTAGAAAGGGTTACAGATGAAAGAATTGTGCAATACATAAAAACCAAATTATTGGTAAAGAGATGGATCGAAGAGGTTATAGAGGCCCCATTAAGCGCAGATGATAATGAAGAGTTAGAAGTTTCATTAAAAAATGGTATTGCCTTATGTACATTATTAAATATTATACAGCCAAACATTGTTCCAAAAATATTTACAAAATTCGTATGTAATATATATATTTATTGAAATTATTCATTAAGGTTGTATATTAATATTAACCATTCATTTTTTTATTTTTTATACATAGGATTTTGGGTTTAAAAATAATATCGATTTTTTTATAATGGGTTTAAATGAATTGGGTTTTCCAAGACAAAAACAATTTTCATTAAAAGAATTATATGACGGCGAAAATTTCGTTAGAGTTGTAGAATGTTTATCAGAGTTATCAAAATATGTATGTAGTAAAGGTTTCCACATACCAATGAAACCAATAACAACCGTTTCCGACAAAGAAATCAAAGTACCAAACGAGGATGAAATCACACTTTTAAGGATCCAATTATCACAAATTAAAGCTTTTTCCGAAGGTGATTCTATGAAAACAAGTATTAATAAAATAAATAGCTACTACACAAATAATTCATATGTAGCACCTGTATCCAATAGTAATAATACCTCAAACAATAGCAATAGTAATAATAATAATAATAGTGCTATTGGTGTCAGTTCTCCAACAGTACATAATAGCAATAATAATGTAAATGGAAATACTACATCAAAGGCAAAAACTACTTTAACTCCAACTCAAAAACCAAAACCAACAGTTTCACCCTCTCAAAGTATGTAATAATTATAAACTATATAAAAAAAAAAATCTATACTAATATTCTTTTTTTTTTTTTATTTTAGTAAAACAACATGAAAAAGGTTTTATATTATTCCAAGCATTATTTAGAGGTTATAAAACAAGACAATTTGTAAAGAAAATGAGTAATTATCAAAATATATTAAAAAAAAAATTTATATCAAAATACTAAAATTTTTTTTATTTTTTTTATAAAAACTACAGAACGTGATATTGCATACAGAGAAAAGGTTCAACAAGAAATTTTAAAAACTGAAGAAGATTATATAAAGAATTTAAATCTTTGCATTACACACTATATGATACCACTATACGAAAAAGAGCTAATCAACAAAGAACAACAAAAGATGATATTTAGCAATATTGAAATTATTTATAATTTTGGTAAAACTTTATTAGAAGATATAAGAGACCGTTGTGGTGCAAAATGGACAGCATATCAAAAGTTAAGTGACCTTTTTTTAAAAATCTCAGCATTTCTCAAAGTATACAGTTCATACGTCCAAAATTACGATATATCAATTGAAGTTTTGAAGGAATTAAGAAAGAGCGAAAAATTTAAAGATGCTTTAGAGGAGATTGGTGATTTTCCAGAAATCAATAACTTTGAGTTGGATTCATTTTTAATTTTACCAGGTAAGTTATATTTTAATTTATAATATTATTAATTTAGTATATAATCTAATAAAACTAACATAATTATCTAATTTTTATATTTAGTACAAAGAATTCCAAGATATTATCTTTTACTCCAAGATCTTGTTAAACATACATGGCCAGAGCATCCAGATCAGAAACCTTTAGCAGAAGCAGCTGAAAAGATTAGAAATGTTGCAAATTTCCTTAATGAACGTAAAAGACAAATGGAAAATATTCAAAAGTTTTCAGAGATACAGGCTAATCTTGTTGGTAAAGGTATACCCGAGTTAATTACACCATCCAGACAGTATATTAAACAAATCAACTATAACGTTCAAGAAACAAAGTCCGATATGGTGGTGTTCATTTGCAATGACTGTATGATTATTGGCAAACCAGTTAAATCATTATTTAGTGATTCAAAAAAGAAAAATATTCAGTACAAAGGCATCATTGACTATAATAATGAAATAGAGTTAAAAGACGATGAAAAGAATACAAACTATCTCAATTTAGTTCAACCAGGTGATGATAAACAATTAAAACTAACTATTGTATTAAAAAATGAAAATGAAAAGAATGCTCTCAAAAAAGAATTACAACAACTAATCAATACACTTTTAGAAAATAAAAACTCAATCAAACTAAAGTTAAATCAATCCACTTCTACTACAACCACAGGAGCCGGTGCAGGTACAGGCTCAACAGGCAACAATAGTCCAAGTCTTAATAATAGTATAAATGGATCACCATCAATATTATTAAATTCCAATAGCTCACCAATAGGCTCTCCAAGAATAGATGAATACAATATTAATCTTACATTAACTGGCAATATAACACCAAATGGAACAATTAAACCAAAATTACAACGTAAAAAGAGAATTGATAACTTATTGGAACACCCTGAACCTGAAAATAATAGTGCAGATAGTGACCAATCATCACCACAACAACCATCATCACCAACAAACAGTAGTACCAATAATACTAGACATAGATCAAAATCAACCATTTCAAAAATTGCAGGCCATTTAACCTTAAGAAGAAAAAAGAAAGAAAAACACCTATCATTAGACGACCCAAGTTCATTAATCAATGGCAGCGATACTGGTGGCTCAGATATCGATGATTCTAAAAAAGTCAATCATAATAATAGTAACAATAACGACAATGATTCAAATGCCACATCACCATTAAGCTCGCCATTATCACTATCAGTACCAACCACACCACCTCTAGACCCATCTTCAAACAATCGTTTATCTTGCAGCGGTTCAAGTATAGCTTCAAATGTAAATGATTTAGATTTAAATGACCATGATAATAATAACAATTGTAATAATAGTAATAGTATGAATAATAATAGTATGAATAATAATAGCAGTGGTAATCTTGCTGAAAGATTATCTTCAACCACTTTTATATCCTATAAAGATATCTTACAATCAAGAAGACAACTAGATCAAAAATACTTAGAAACCTATTTATCACCCGAAGAATTTAAAACTTTATTCGAAATTGAAAAAGAGGAATTTTACAAATTACCAAAATGGAAACAAAATCAAAAGAAGGTTTTATTAAAGTTATATTAAAACGCTTCACACAATATTTATATATTTATTTATTTATCATATGTTGTAATAATAAAAAACTAAACAATTTAAAAATATCTTAAATTTTCTTTTACTAATATTTAAAATATTATTTTTTTTAAAATTTTGTTTATTTTTTAATTTTTTTTAATTTTTTTTTTTTATGTTGTGCGGTTTTTTTGGAAAAAAAAGTAAAAATTTTTTTTTTTTTTAAAATTTTTTTAATGTGGAAAAAATTAACATTTCCCATATAAAAAAAAAAAAAAAATTGCATGTTTTGAACCAACCGCATAATAAAGAAGAGATTGATAACTTGTTTAATGAAACAAATAATTTCGATATTGTTTAATCAGCATGTTTGGGGTTTGTCAAAGAAAAGTCAAGTAAAATTATGGATGATGTAGTTTCTGCGATTAACATACCTGATTCGTATGTTTATCAAATTTTTGAGCAAAACTCAAATCAAGAAGGAAATAATAAATTGTTATATATTAAACTCCAACAAATGCAGTTCAAACTTGAACAACAACAAAGATAACAACTAGATCAAGTAGTAAATCAATTAAATATGTTACCATCAACCTTATTACAAAATCCAGAAACGTTAAAGCCCAAAGAAAAGGATTTAAATTTAAGTAAAATAGATGGAAAAAAAAAATTCATTGTCCACTTAAATCGCTTATAAATGAAACAAGGAAAAATGTTAGGTATTTGTGGAAACCAAGAGACATATTTTTTAGAGGATTATGTACTAAATATCCAAATTATGTGATAAATGAACAATTACGATTGGAAAAAGAAGTGGTTATAGAAATGGTTAATAATAAATCTGGTTTTACAATTACTGATGAAGATGCCACAAAATTTGGAAAATGGATTTTATCGGGCAAAGAATCTTTTTATTTTTATACAAAACCTAATAAATAGATAAATCGTCCATAGATATTATTCCACGAAAAACACCACCAACAAAATATAAAACAAAAGAACCATCAAAGACTTCTGAAGCAAAAGAACCATCAAAAACATCTGAAGCAAAAGAACCGTCAAAGACTTCTGAAGAAACAAGTACAAAATTTGGTGTAAGCCTCAACAAATAAACAATTATCAAAATAAAAAACAAAAATTATCGTAAAAGATGTGAATTATCCTCTAGCTGGAAAGTATATAAACAACCAAAACAAACAAATAATAAATAATAAAATACCTTTAAATAAGACTAGTTTGTAAAAACTTATTTCATCAATGATGATCAAAGAGATTTTTAATTATTTTTTTTAATCATTAAGTTAAAATAAGTAAATTTTATGATTTTTTACTGAGTTTAGGATTTTTTTAAAATTTCTGGAGGTGTATTCAAACTGACTTATTTCTGGTTCCATTATCAAAATTAACTTTAGACAGAAATCTTAAAGAGTTAATTTTTAATATAAAAATAATAAATTTTTATTTTATTTTTTTTATTTAAAATAATAGATTTTATTGAAAAGTTTTATAAATTTTATTTGTTTTTACCATTGTTTCCTTTACCATTACCATTATTTCCATTATTTCCATTGCTACCATTATTACCATTGTTTCCATTACCATTACCATTGTTACCATTGTTACCATTTCCATTTCCATTATTTCCATTACCATTGTTACCATTATTTGCATTGTTACCATTTCCATTACCATTGTTACCATTGTTACCATTATTACCATTATTACCATTACCATTGTTTCCATTATTGCCATTTCCATTATTGCCATTTCCATTATTGCCATTTCCATTTCCATTATTACCATTATTACCATTATTTCCATTACCATTATTACCATTATTACCATTTCCATTTCCATTACCATTATTGCCATGATTGCCATTACCATTGTGATCATCATCTTCATCGCAATCATCTTTTCCACCACTACCTTTTTTACATTGTTTACACATTTTAGATGGAGTATGACTAATTAAACCAGTACATGGGTCACAATCATCCAATGTACATGGATCATAGTCATCGATTTCTGGTTTGGGTAAAAGTGCACAGTATCCTTTATTACTAGTGGAGTTAAATTTACAAATTGATATTTGACATTTATTATTTGTTGGTGCACTACATGAAGATTTATAATGACATCCTCCTAATTTAGCATCACAACCAGTATTAATAAGACACTCATTGGATCTATCAGGACAATTAATTGGTGTTGGTGTAAATAAACCGGTAGAAGGGTTACATGAATAATTTGAACATATATTATTTGATGGTGGTAATTGAACTGGAGTATAAATACATTGGCCAGTTTGAGCATCACACGAGGAAGTCAAACATTTATTTGATGTTTGTGGGCACTTTGGAGTTTTAATACAACCATTGCCAGTTAAGCTACATGAATATAAACTACATTTATCTGGGTTATTTCCATCTAATTCTAATGAACAATCACTTGCTGTTTTCATTGCACATGTACCATTATTACATTGACCACTATTACAAACACTATTGCACTTTGATTCGTACTGGCAACCTAACTTTGGGTCACATCCAATAACATTTAAACATTGATCGGATTTATTTGAACATGTAACTGGTGTTGTTGAGAATTCACCGGTTTTTGGATCACATTTTGAATTAACACAAACATTGCCTTCATTTGGATCTGAAACTGGGGAATCAACACACTCTCCAGTATCTTCATCACAAGATGTTGTTTGACATTTGTTAGAGGACTGTTTACACTTTGGTTCTTTTTTGCATCCGTTACCATTTGAATCACATGAATAAATATAACATTTACTTGGATTACTATTACCATCCAATTCTAATGAGCAATCACTCTCTGATTTAGTTGTACATGTACCATTATTACACTTTCCACATACTCCGGTACATTGAGGTTGATATAGGCAGCCTACAGATATATCACAACCATTACCAACTAAACACTCATCTGATCTATCTTTACATAAAACTGGGACAACAGAGAAAAAACCATTTAATGGATTACATGTCGATATTACACATTTGGTTTCGTATGGATTGGGTATTGGAGTGTCAATACATTGACCAGTTTGGGTGTCACAGGAAGTAACAAAACATTTATTAGATGTTTGTGGGCACTTTGGAGTTTCAAAACATCCGGTAGAATTACAGGTATATACACTACATATATTTTGGTTACTTTGTGAAGAAACTATTGTTGTAAAAAAACAAAAAACTAATATTATAATTTTTATCATTTTATATATTACAATTATATTTTATTTATATTTTATTTATAATTTATTATTTATATTTTATCTTTATTTATTATTTTATTTATCTATTTTATATATTATTATTTTTAAAAAATTTTATCTTTACAATTTATCGTCGAAATATTTATTTACAATTTATTTATTTACAATTTATTTATTATTACAATTTACTTTTACAATTTAAATGCTATAAAAAAAAAAAAAAAAATTTTATTTAAAATTTTTTTTTAAGTATTTTTTTTTTCTTTTCTTAATAATTTAAAAGAAAAATCTGTTTTGTAGTCCACTGGTAAACAATTTCTATGTTGTTGAGGGTTTATTATTTTTTTTTCCTTTGCACACTTACCATTTTTTTGAGATTTAAATCCTTTCATATAAAAATTTTATTAAGATATTTATTTGAAAATTTTTTTAAAAAAAAATAAAAAAAAAATAAAATTTTTTTTTTTTTTTCAAACTTAATTAAAATCAAATCCCCAATAAAGATATTTAAGTATTTCATAAGATTTTTATTATTTTTTTTTTTGATTATAAAATATTTTTATTTTTATTTAATTTTAATTGTGAAAATTGAATAAAAAGAAAATTTTTTTTTTTAATAATTATTTTAATAATATAATATATATTATTAGTGTAAGAGACGGTATTTTATTAAATAAATTTTTTAAATGGTATGTGTGAGGAGTTGTATTTTTTAAAAAAGCTTACTTCGAGTAATGAATATTATTAGTGTAAGCGACAGTGTTTGATAAAACGAAAATTTCAAAAAATTTTTATTTTGTTTTATTTTATTTTTTAAAAGTGAAGATAATTAAAAAATGCTTTAAATTAGCCAGTAAAATAAAAGAAGCTCCCCTTCCGGGAATCGAACCCGGGGTATCAGTGTGAGAGACTAATGTGTTACCGACTACACCAAAGAGGAGATGTTTGATTAAAGTAGATGGAGCTACTTTAATTTCATTTTTTTAATAAAATTAAATATTTTGGTAAAATTATAGTACCATTAATGATAAGAGCTTTGATCACCTGAATCATTAAATTTTTTTTTTTTTTTTTTTTTTTTTTAAAAATGAAGGTTTTTAAAGCATAGCTTTAGATTAATCAGTAAATTTTGTTTAATGTTTTTAATATAAATTTACAGTAAATATTCTAAACTATTGATATTTGATAATGAATTGATATTGATGCAGTATTTTTTTACTATTTTTTTTTTTTAATTTTCTGTATTCTTTGTTAATTTTGATTATTTTTTGTAGTTATTTGGCTTGTTTATCTTTGATTTTTTTTAAATCTTTTATGTAGTACAAGAGTGGCTAGCCAATTTTGAGGTTGTTGTAATCAAGTTCTTAAATTGTGTTTTCTTGTTCGTCTTATAATTCTTTAATAACCAAAGGCGATAACAATCCAAATTTGATGGAATACATGTATTAAGGCTGAATCATTCAATATAATGAATACATTTGTTTGAAGGTACTAAGATATACAAAATTTCGCGTTTGAGCAAAAAAAAAATTTATAAACACCTGGAAGAAAATAGATACAAAAAGAATCGACAGCTGCAGGGTTCGAACCTGCGCCTCCGAGGAGATCTGATTTCAAGTCAGACGCGTTAGACCACTTCGCTAAGCTGTCAAGTTGTTGATGTTTTTAAAAATAACATTTTTTCTCAAAGTCCAAAAAGTTTAAGATATGAAATTCAGATATATTTTACAATGTAGTGAAAATACCGATACACCTGGAAAGTTATAGATATTTATCGATGAATAACTAATAAAAATTAAATAACTAAAATCAAAATAAAATTACTAAAAAAAATAAATTAATAAAAGAATATAATCAACGTCAGGCCTTTCAAGTACTATGGTTGGAGTGTTACACCTTTGCGCCATTCCAGGTAAGTCAAATATTCGTGGTTAGCAATCAATTCAAAATAAAGGTTTTTTTTGAAAATAAAAATACTTATTAGTGATAAAACATTATAAAAGAAAAAAATTGGTTTTTTAACTTTTATTTTTTCTCTTTTTTTAATTATTCCATTATTTTAAAATAACAGAATCTAATAAACCTAAAGAAAATTTCAAACAATTTAAGTCATGAATAATTTTTTTGCCCAAAAAGATAATAATATTAAGTTTTGACCCCCTTTTTTAAATTTTTTATTTTTTTTATTTATTCAATAATTTTAATTTCACCAGATAAAATTCATTTCTCTCGTAAAGTTCTTCTATAACCCTGTATTATTATTTCTAAATATTTTGCAGCATTTGTGTTAAACCTGATAATACATATACATATATATTGAGCTGCCACTTCATCTTCGTTTAGTCAAAATGTTTCTTTAAGGTTTCTTGCACCATGAATCCATTTTTTGGTTTCCAATTAATAAGAAAATCCTTCAATTCACACAAATATAAACATTCTTTGATTCCAAAATTGGATTTTTTAATGAAGAAACTATTGAATCTTTAAATATTTTATATTTTTTTAAATAAAAAAGTAAGTAAAGAACCCTTTGGTATTGGTTGATTATAGTATACAATTTCAAGTGTTTCTAAATGGAGTGGGAGAATGTTTGGTTGAAGTGGATGATTGTAGCGACAAAGATAGAGTTTATTGCATGTTATAGGCAAATCACCAGTTTTCAAAGGTTGGTCAAAAGAGAAAAGCTCTAACTCTGCAATTGAACTAAATACACCAGGAGTAATACTTTGATTGAAATCAAGAAACTTTAAAACCTTAATGAGTTTGGAAGAGTACCAATTCTAAATTGTTGATCTGATCCTAATGCTAAAATGGTAAGAGATGGAGGAAATAAGTCTGATGTGAGTTTTTGATCGAATTGGACGTAATACAATTTAGTGACACTTGGTGGTATAACTGATTTGATGTCGATTTGATGAGTGTACCAATCACAAAATTCTATACTTGTCACTGTGGGAGGAATATCACCTGCTCGAATTGGTTGATTGAAATCACCTGTAAATTCTAATTTGTGGTTCCATAAGGTATAGATTTTTTAGCAAATAAAATATTTTACTTTTTTTATAAAATACCAAATCTATTATATAAAGAAAAAATTAAAATGGTAATATAATTTATTATAATAACTTTAATAGTAGTAAGGAATCTTTTCATATAATTTAAAACTGTTATTAAATAATTTTTTTTATTATAATAATCAACCACACACTTTTTAACCCACTGTTTAATTTTTTAAAAAAAAATTTTTAAAAAAATTTCAATGCTGCGTTTTTTGTCAATGATTTTTTAAATTTCATTTCTTTTTGTGGTAGAGCTTTAAATTTTAATTTTTTTAATTTTTTTTTAATTTGCTTTTTTCTTTTTTAGTATTTCAATTATTTTTTTTTTTTTAATTTTTTTTTTTAATTTTCATTTTTTTAATTTACATACAAATAATCATATACATACAAAAAAATCATATAATTTTATTTTTTTATAATAATAATCAGCACATTCAATAAATTATATCAATAATAATATTTATTAATTACCATTTAAAAATGAATCTATTAATGATTGTTTTTTATATATTATTGGCTATTATTTTTTCAGTTTATTTAATAAATAAATATTTTGCAATCAATAACAATAACAATAGTAATAACAATAATAATTGCAATAATAATAGAAATATAACCAATACACAACACTATAACAAAATCAACAACAATTTAGCTGATCAAATTCATATTCACCAAAATCCACAGAATTCAAAACCAAACCATCAATTTGATTCCACTTGTGCTCCACCAGACCAATTTGGTTCCACTTCTGCCCCACCACAGCAATTTGACTCCACTTCTGCTCCACCAGACCAATTTGATTCCACTTCTGCCCCACCACAGCAATTTGACTCCACTTCTGCCCCAACAGACCAATTTGACTCCACTAGTGCCCCACCACAGCAATTTGATTCCATTTGTGCCCCACCACAGCAATTTGACTCCATTTGTGCCCCACCACAGCAATTTGATTCCACTTGTGCCCCACCACACCAATTTGATTCCATTTGTGCCCCACCACATCAATTTGATTCCATTTGTGCCCCATCACACCATCAACCACAATCTCAATTTTTCAACTCAATTTCTTCTCAATTAATTAATACACCAATTCCACCACCAATTCCATCCACAATTGCATCAAAAACCTCTGCATCTGTCTATCCAATTTTTGAATCTGAGCCAAGTTACAACTCTGCAGGTTCATCATTATCAAAAAGAAAAACATTTAGAAAGCCAGTATCAAGTACTATTTTTGCAGGGGAACCAACATCAACTGGCAACCATCCAATGAAGAAGAGACCATTGGAAATTGATAATGAAGTAAATAATGGTGATAGACAAATTTCCAAAAGACATAAACTCGAAGATGAAGAGAGTTTAAATATAGTAAAGCAATTTGTAGAAATGGAAATTTTAAAAAAAGAAAGAGAAAGAGAAGAAAAAGAAAAAATGGAAAGACTTAAACTAATCGAAAGAATCCAAAGAGAATATAGAGAAAGGGAAGAAATAGAAAGAAACCAATGTTTAGAAATTGAAAGACAAATAAAAGAAGGATATGAAAGAAAAAGATTAGAAAGAATCCAATTAGAAAGAGAACAACTAGAACAATCAGAAAGATCAAGATTACAAAGAATTCAAAAGGATAGAGAAAGAGCAGTAAAAATAAGAGAAAGAGAGGAAAGAGAAAGAGCAAGAGAAAGACAAAGAATAAGAGAAGAGACAGAAAGAGAAGAAAGAATCCAAAGGGATAGAGAAGTAAGAGAACAATTCGAAAGAGAACAATCAGAAAGAGAAGAATCAGAAAGAAATAATTTGGAAGGTGAACGTTCAGAAAGTGAAGACAAATGCACAATTTGTCTTAACTTTATAGATATAAATGAAATGGCCACAATTGATTGCCATCATAAATTTTGCTACAGATGCATTGTAGACTGGTCTGAACGTATCAATACATGCCCAAATTGTAGAAGAGAGTTTTTTGAAATCAAAGTAAGTAATTTACACATTCATATTTATACTTAATAAATATATTAATTAATTTCATTAATAATTTATTCAGAAAGTAGCTAATGAAGAAAATTAAGGTAATGAAGATGAAGATGAAAATGAAGATGATCTTTTAGATATTGAACTTGAAGGCGATTAAGTTAATAGTTTTGATAATTCATTCATTGTTCCTTTTTAAGAAATAGGTGAAGACCAAATTATTAATAAAATCGTTCTATTCAATGTTTCAATTATTCAATCGATTAAATTATAGAAAGTCAACTTCATCATCCAAGAAACAAATCATATCTTTATCATCATTTGTATTAAGAAGTCATGTATATCATTAGTTCAACTTTACATAAAAAATTTCCAACGTCATTTATCAAAACAACTCTTAAGGTAACTATAATGTTAATATTAACATTATTATTTTTTATTTTTAAAAATAAAAGAAACTAATATTTAATTTTAATTATTTTTAGTTAAATTCCAACTCTTTCTTCAGTATCAGCATATTGGGTTTTTGTTTACTCTTATTCAAAGTCAACACGTTTCAAGTAGCAAACTATACAATAGGGTTCTTGTTTTTTTCTTTTTCGGTATCTGCTCATTTCAAGTCATAAACTGTACAATAGGGTTCTTGTTTTTTTCTTTTCTGGTATCTGCTCATTTTAAGTCACGATCAAACACTTGGGTTTTTCTTTTCTTTTTCGGCATCAGCATATTATAACTCACATATCAAATATTAGGGTTTCTGTTTATTCTTTCCGTTTCGAGGTCAACAAGTTTTAATTCATAAATTAAACATTGGGGTTTTAATTCTTTTCTGGTATCAGCTCATTTTAAGTCACAATCAAACCTTGGGGGTTTCTTGTTTCTTTTTCAGTATCAGCTTATTTTATGTCACAAATTAAACATTGGGGGGTTTCTTGTTTCTTTTTCAGTATCAGCTCATTTTAAGTCACAATCAAACTTTGGGGGGTTTCTTGTTTCTTTTTCAGTATCAGCTCATTTTATGTCACAAATTAAACATTGGGGTTTTTGTTTAATCTTTGTAATTATGGTTTTCAAATTGGTTTATTCAAAATCAAATTATCCATCTACCATTCAACCGTCTACACCAACGTCCATTGGACCAATCAAAATATTTCATTAAAAAATATAATAACAAATCTAAATTTTTATATTTCAACATTACATCTTTAATTAAAAAATCACTCAATTATTAGAGAAAATAAAATAATTTAATTAATTTAATTAAAATAAAGTTTTGTATAATAATTAAAATAAATAATTTTTATTAAAATGTATTTTATAATTCTTTTTTTATTCTAAAGGTGGTTATCCACTGTCAATAGTTTATTTACCTATTCTGAAATAGAAACAAGTATATAATCACTTTTTCTTATAATTTCTCTATCTTTTTTCTGAGTTACTCTTTTATAAGGACAATTCTTCACGAATCTATGAACCTTTTTATTGACCTTTTACCTAGTAAGTATAAAAAATAATAATATTATTTAAAAATATTTAAAAATATAACTCTAATTTTATCTAATATATAAATTATATTTTTAAATAACATCTAAATAATATAATCATTATAATTTGATGTTTAATTATTGCCAGTGTTATTTCTCCACATTTAAGACTGATTCAATTTTGGTTGTTTCTTTGAAAAAAAAAAAAAATTAAAAAATTAAAAAAAATAAAATAATTAAAAAAAAAAAAAAAAATTTTAATAATAAAAATATTTAAAGACGATGAAATGGATGAAATGACAACAAGGTTATTAGTTTGTAAAGATTGGTGCTCAAATATAAAATCATCATGCAACACACTATCACTCTCTTTAAATAATCTATTGCCAATTACAAATCAAATTTCAACATTTACAGCATTAAAGAAATTGGAAATCGTTTGTTTGAATAATGACTATTCGGATAGTGATGACGACAGTGACGATAGCGATACCGAAAACTATTGAAATTAACTTTTTATTATTATTTAGATACCAAATCAAGTTACTCTATTTAAGCAATGGGTTAAGGGTTAATAATACATTGGAATCATTGGTATTAAGAGGATGTAAAATAGAAGGTTGGGGGAGCATACAGTTTATGCGAAACTTTAGGTATTAACAAATCTTTAAAAGAATTAGATTTAACACAGAATAATCTTGGTGATAGAGGAGGTTGTATTGCAGAAAAACTAAATTTACATCCATCATTTATTTTCAATTTAAAAAAAATAAAATTAAAAAAATAGAAAAAATTATAATCAATTTAATAAAATATAAATACAAAACACCTTAAATCAATTATAAATAATAAGAAAATTGTTTTTGTTGCCGCTGATGAAAAATTACCATCATACTGGCAATACTCATTCACTGATGGTAACTGTGTCATCTCATTCCGTCCAAAGATCTGTAACACTAATGATGTATTCACTGCTAAATTAGAAACTCTTCTTCCTTCACAAGGCACCTACTCTTTAATGACCCGTTTAAATATTAAAGAAAATCAAGCTAAAATGGATGCTAATTTAGTAGCTGTTAAAAAAGCAATGAAATCCGATGTCGATTGGACCATCGATCAAGCATCATTAGAAGCCGTTTACCCACATGTTGCTGCCGATTTAAAAAATAGTTTTGGTCATATTTTTGCAGGTGTTATCGAAAAAGTTGCAGCCAATCTTGCTAAACGTTGTGCTGATGAAATGGTATTAGAAGCTGTACTATTGTTATTAAACACAATGCCACACAAAATGGATACTGGTTATGGTCATTCGAAAACGGTAATTTAGTTATTTCATTCAAATCCATTACCAATACCAACGATGTTCAAACTTTCGATTTCATTAAATTATTATAATTTATAACTTTATAAATAAACTATTTAATAATAATTTTATCAATAATCTGTTAGAAAAATTATTAATCTCTTCTGGCATATTCATGGTTATTAAAATTTCTATATTATTATATTTTGGTGATGAAAGAAAAAAATATAAAAAAATATTATAAAAATAAAAAAATTAAATTTTTTTTAATTATTCACTTCAAACCAAAAAATAAATAAATTTATTTACTTCAAATCAAAAATTAAATGTTGAAAAGAGGTGATTATTTCTTTGATGAAGTTGACTTTTTTTAATTTCATCATTTTCAGTAATTGAATGATACGATTTTATTAATAATTTGATGCTTTTTCTTTAGATTTTTTAGCAAATAAATAATTTTACTTTTTTTATAAAATACCAAATCAATTATAAAAAAAAAAATTAAAATGGTAATATAATTTATTATAATAACTTTAATAGTAGTAAGGAATCTTTTCATATAATTTAAAAACTGTTATTAAATAATTTTTTTTATTATAATAATCAACCACACACTTTTTAACCCACTGTTTAATTTTTTAAAAAAAAAATTTTTAAAAAAATTTCAATGCTGCGTGTTTTGTCAATGATTTTTTAAATTTCATTTCTTTTTGTGGTAGAGCTTTAAATTTTAATTTTTTAATTTTTTTTTAATTTGCTTTTTTCTTTTTTAGTATTTCAATTATTTTTTTTTTTTTTTTTTTTTTTTTTAATTTTCATTTTTTTAATTTACATACAAATAATCATATACATACAAAAAAATCATATAATTTTATTTTTTTATAATAATAATCAGCACATTCAATAAATTATATCAATAATAATATTTATTAATTACCATTTAAAAATGAATCTATTAATGATTGTTTTTTATATATTATTGGCTATTATTTTTTCAGTTTATTTAATAAATAAATATTTTGCAATCAATAACAATAACAATAGTAATAACAATAACAATTGCAATAATAATAGAAATATAACCAATACACAACATTATAACAAAATCAACAACAATTTAGCTGATCAAATTCATATTCACCAAAATCCACAGAATTCAAAACCAAACCATCAATTTGATTCCACTTGTGCTCCACCAGACCAATTTGATTCCACTTGTGCCCCACCACACCAATTTGATTCCACTTGTGCCCCACCACAGAAATTTGATTCCACTTGTGCTCCACCAGACCAATTTGATTCCACCTGTGCCCCACCAGACCAATTTGATTCCACTTGTGCCCCACCACACCAATTTGATTCCACTTGTGCCCCACCACACCAATTAGATTCCACCTGTGCCCCAACAGACCAATTTGATTCCACTTGTGCCCCACCACACCAATTTGATTCCATTTGTGCCCCACCACACCAATTAGATTCCACTTGTGCTCCACCACACCAATTTGATTCCATTTGTGCCCCACCACACCAATTTGATTCCACTTGTGCTCCACCACACCAATTTGATTCCATTTGTGCCCCATCAAACCATCAACAACAATCTCAATTTTTCAACTCAATTTCTTCTCAATTAATTAATACATCAATTCCACCACCAATTCCATCCACAATTGCATCAAAAACCTCTGCATCTGTCTATCCAATTTTTGAATCTGAGCCAAGTAACAACTCTGCAGGTTCATCATTATCAAAAAGAAAAACATTTAGAAAGCCAGTATCAAGTACTATTTTTGCAGGGGAACCAACATCAACTGGCAACCATCCAATGAAGAAGAGACCATTGGAAATTGATAATGAAGTAAATAATGGTGATAGACAAATTTCCAAAAGACATAAACTCGAAGATGAAGAGAGTTTAAATGTAGTAAAGCAATTTGTAGAAATGGAAATATTAAAAAAAGAAAGAGAAAGAGAAGAAAAAGAAAAAATGGAAAGACTTAAACTAATCGAAAGAATTCAAAGAGAATATAGAGAAAGGGAAGAAATAGAAAGAAACCAATGTTTAGAAATTGAAAGACAAATAAAAGAAGGATATGAAAGAAAAAGATTAGAAAGAATCCAATTAGAGAGAGAACAACTAGAACAATCAGAAAGATCAAGATTACAAAGAATTCAAAAGGATAGAGAAAGAGCAGTAAAAATAAGAGAAAGAGAGGAAAGAGAAAGAGCAAGAGAAAGACAAAGAATAAGAGAAGAGAGAGAAAGAGAAGAAAGAATCCAAAGGGATAGAGAAGTAAGAGAACAATTAGAAAGAGAACAATCAGAAAGAGAACAATTAGAAAGAGAACAATTAGAAAGAGAACAATCAGAAAGAAATAATTTGGAAGGTGAACGTTCAGAAAGTGAAGACAAATGCACAATTTGTCTTAACTTTATAGATATAAATGAAATGGCCACAATTGATTGCCATCATAAATTTTGCTACAGATGCATTGTAGACTGGTCTGAACGTATCAATACATGCCCAAATTGTAGAAGAGAGTTTTTTGAAATCATAGTAAGTAATTTACACATTCATATTTATACTTAATAAATATATATTAATTAATTTCATTAATAATTTATGCAGAAAGTAGCTAATGAAGAAAATTAAGGTAATGAAGATGAAGATGAAAATGAAGATGATCTTTTAGTTATTGAACTTGAAGGCGATTAAGTTAATAGTTTTGATAATTCATTCAATGTTCCTTTTTAAGAAATAGGTGAAGACCAAATTATTAATAAAATCGTTCTATTCAATGTTTCAATTATTCAATCGATTAAATTAAAGAAAGTCAACTTCATCATCCAAGAAACAAACCACATCTTTATCATTTGTATTAAGAAGTCATGTATCTCATTAGCTCAACTTTACATAAAAAAGTTCCAACGTCATTTATCAAAACAACTCTTAAGGTAACTATAATGTTAATATTAACATTATTATTTTTTATTTTTAAAAATAAAAGAAACTAATATTTAATTTTAATTATTTTTAGTTAAATTCCAACTCTTTCTTCAGTATCAACATATTGGGTTTTTGTTTACTCTTATTCAAAGTCAAAACGTTTCAAGTCGCAAACTATACAATAGGTTCTTGTTTTTTTCTTTTCCGGTATCTGCTCATTTCAAGTCATAAACTGTACAATAGGGTTCTTGTTTTTTTCTTTTCTGGTATCTGCTCATTTTAAGTCACGATCAAACACTTGGGTTTTTCTTTTCTTTTTCGGCATCAGCATATTATAATTCACATATCAAATATTAGGGTTTCTGTTTATTCTTTCCATTTCAAGGTCAACAAGTTTTAAGTCGCAAATTAAACATTGGGGTTTTTCTTTTCTTTTTCGGCATCAGCATATTATAACTCACATATCAAATATTAGAGTTTCTGTTTATTCTTTCCGTTTCGAGGTCAACAAGTTTTAATTCATAAATTAAACATTGGGGTTTTAATTCTTTTTTGGTATCAGCTCATTTTATGTCACAATCAAACTTTGGGGGGTTTCTTGTTTCTTTTTCAGTATCAGCTCATTTTATGTCACAAATTAAACATTGGGGTTTTTGTTTAATCTTTGTAATTATGGTTTTCAAATTGGTTTATTCAAAATCAAATTATCCATCTACCATTCAACCGTCTACACCAACGTCAATTGGACCAATCAAAATATTTCATTAAATAAAATAATAACAAATCTAAATTTTTATATTTCAACATTAGATCTTTAATTAAAAAATCACTCAAATATTAGAGAAAATAAAATAATTAAATTAATTAAATTAAAATAAAGTTTTGTATAATAATTAAAATAAATAATTTTTATTAAAATGTATTTTATAATTTTTTTTTTATTCTAAAGGTGGTTATCCACTGTCAATAGTTTATTTAACTATTCTGAAATAGAAACAATTAACATATATATTTAATAATAAAATAATTAACTATAATAACTATATAATAAAAAATGGATATAAACATGATGGATATTGAAAAATATAGAGAAATTAAAATATTTAAAGACGATGAAATGGATGAAATGACAACAACAGAATAATCATCAACATCAGGAAGAAATAAAGAAAAAAGATCATTCATCAGAAGGAACTCAAATATCATTATCTAAAATATTTAGAAATCCGATGGGTGACCTTAATATCAACAAAAAACATTCAAATCTTTAACAATATTATGATAATAATATATATATTATTTTATCATAATTTTAATAAATATATAATTTTTTTAATATCCAATAAATAGAAAAAATAAAATATAAAATTCATATCAAATTAAAGATTTTATTTTTTTATTTTAAAAAAGTTTTATTTATTTAAATGTCTTTTAAGGTATCTAATTTTTTTAAAAAATTATTAACTAAATAATTTGTTGATATCAATTCTAATGAAGCAAGACCAACTACACCCAAAAAGAATTGAGGTTTTGACAAAGGTTTCTTTTTTAATTTACTAATTGCAAATGTGCCTAATGTTGCTGGAGTCAAAAAGAGAGATGTTAAAATGATTGGATAAGAATATTTAGCTATAAAATTTGGTTCCATATGATCCTCTAAATCTCTTCTAACATAAAATCCTTCCATATCACTGTTTATATGTCGAGAAATACCTTTAACATGACCCTTGCCAACAACAGCTACAATTTTTTTACCTGGAGCATCTCTTATGCAACTGGCCATATATTGATCTCTTTCGTCTATTAAACCCTTTTTAGCTGGTAATGGCAAAGAATTTCTCCACTCTACACTATCCCAAGGCTCATTAATTGTTTTGGATGCTTCTTTATAATAAATTTCTCTAATTTCTTTAGCACTCTTGTTATATAACTGAAAATATGATTTAATGGTTTGCATTGAAACATTGAAAATTGTTCCTAAATCTAGATAATTTGCAACTCTTTTCCATGTAACTCTTGAATCTCTATCACCTAATACTATTGTACATTTATTTTCTTTTGCGTAATTATAAGCAACTCTGAATTCGGTTCCATAAATATATATTTGTTTATTATTATTATTATTATTGCTATTGCTATTATTATTTACCAATGGCATAAAAGTTGTATAGTAATAAAACAAATTGAGGTATGACAAAACAAAATCTGAAACTTTAGTTGTAAACCAATTTATTTTAGGTTTAGTTAATATATTTTTAATTAAAAGATCTTCGCTTGCATTTAACATTCCTGCTCTTTCACTTGATAACTCTAGCATTACAGTATCTGGCTTTACTAAATCCAATAATGTTTTTACGTCTGTTGATGATTGTGGTGATACATGAACGCTACCAAATAAATAAATAACTGAATTATTCTTTTCGTTGATTACAACATTAATATTTTTATTTGAGTCTATAATACATTCGTTTATTTTATTTAAAATTTCGTTTGTTTCTTTGTAGTCGATTTCATATTTTTGATTTTTATATTCTCCTGAATTGTAGAAATTCATTTTATTATCTAATTTATTGGATAAAAAAATGAAAAAAAAGTAAAAAATAAAAAAATAAAAAAATAAAATTTTAAAAAATAAAAAAAAAATAAAATTTTTTTGGTTTAAAAAATTGGGAAAAACATTGTGGTTATAAAAACAATAAATAAAATAATAATTAGATTTTGATTGAAAAATTAAATGTAATCGTAAATTATTTAAAAATACAAAAGTTTTTTTTTTATTTAATAAAAAGAAATTAAAAAGGATTGTGTTGTTATATAATTTTTTTTTTCTTTTTATATTATAGAAAAATAATTGTAATATTATTAATTGTTTGTATTATTTTATTGAGGGGGTTTGTAGTATATATTGTATTAGTTTTAAAGTGGTGGTGGTGGTGGTATTCTATTCTTATCATCATCATATTGTTCATCATAATTATATTCTTGTTGTTGTTGAGAGTAGTCATATTGTTGATCTTGTTGTTGAGAGTAATCGTATTGTTGGTCTTGTTGTTGAGAGTAATCATATTGTTGTTGTTGTTGGTCGTAATCATTAGTTGTGGCACCTTCTTGATAATCTTGAGCTTGATAGTCTTGATTTGAGTAGTCTTGGGTGGTTTGTTGTGAGTAATCATGTTGTTGTTGATCTTGTTGTGAGTAATCATATTGTTGTTGATCTTGTTGATCTTGTTGTGAGTAATCATATTGTTGTTGGTCTTGTTGAGAGTAATCATATTGTTGTTGATTATTTTGTTGGGAATAATCATATTGTTGTGAATAATCATAAGCTGGTGGTGGTGGAAGATTTGGAGTTGAAAGTGGTGGTGGTGGTGGTGGTGGGGTATAGGCACTTGGTGATGAATATGAAAGATTTGTAGTCGATCTATTATTACTATTATACAAATTGGAAGCGTGGTGGTCACCAGATTCTGAAAGATTATTGTTAGAATTATGATAAGTTGAAGCACGGAAATTTGGAGTTGATGATGATGAAACTGTGACAGTAGTTTTAGTTGATGAAGGAATATCAGTGTATGCAATACCATTCTTGTTATTTGATAAACAAGCTTGAACATCTGAAATGATTTCACCAATTTTATCATTTGTACCTTTTTTATCATTTGATTTACTGAGAATTCTTGCAACATCAGCAGTTGGAACTGGTACATCGACAAGGGTACGATTGGTGGTGAAACATCTTTTCATTGCTTGTAAACCTGCTAAACCTAAAGAGTTGTTATCGATGAGTAAAGTTTTAAGACAAGTATTCTTCTTTAATGATTCGAATAATTCTCTACAAATATCATCACCCATTTGATTACCAGAGATATCTAATTCGACCAATTTGCAATCAGCAAGTGATTTGACTAATGGTAAAAGTTCTTTACCTAAACAGAATGAATTTTTACCACCCAAAACTAATTTTCTAATTGAAACATGTTGATTAATGGTTCTAGCGATATGATCAACGATTGGCTCGGCTTTACTAGATGATTTAAAGTTGGATGAAAGGTCAATGGCAGTAAGAGTACTATTCTCTTCAAGAGCTTGGACAATATAAGTGACACCCTTCTTTCTAAAGCCATTATTTGCGAGATTAAGTGATGAGATATTGGATGATGATTTGATAGTTTGTGAAAAAGCTAATGCACCTTTTTGCTCTAAATTATTGCTTGAAAGATCCAAGTATCTATCTGAAACTGCAACACCGCTACTGCATGCATTAAGGATGTTGTTAACTTGGTCACCAGTAATTTGACATTTTGATAATTTAATATTGGCCAATGAATCACATTTGTTAATAATAGCACAAACATTTGATACAGCCTCTGGTGTAAATTTATTACTAGAGAGATCCAAATATTGAAGTGCTTCCAATTGACCTTGTTTAAGTGCCATTGTGAATTTAGTGGTATCTAATTGAGTATCTTCGAGGTTGATATGAACTAATGGTTTTCTTGGATTTGGAATTGATGAATTTAGGAGAATAATCCAATCATGGAGTGATTCGGTACCAATTTTATCGAAAACATTTCTAGAGAAATCTAAATGAACAATATTACCAGAGGAAGCATAGTTTGATTGGAGAGTACGGAAGAAAACTGAAGCACCTTTAGCCTCTAATTGAACATGTGAAGCAATGAGCTCCAAGAATGGTCTATTGAATGATTTGATTGCCTCTGCAATAACCTCCATACCTTCATCTTGAACTTTATTTTCAGAGACATTGAGTGATACAAGGACATTATGTTGATTCTCTTTTAAAGCTCTTCCTAATTCCATCCAACCACTTGAAGCGTCAATTGATGAAAGATCAGCACTAACGATAGTTCTATTGTGATGGAAAACATCGGCTAATAATAATGGGATTTCTTTTCTTGTTTTATTATGGCAAATAAAAGTATCGAAAAATGTATTGTGTCTGAGAGCTGCTAAAACTGGAGTTAAATTTACAGCTGATTCACTATTTTTATCGATACCTGCAAAATCATCAAGACAAAATACTCTGCTTCCCTTGCTAACAGTTTCTTCAAGATAATAAATTAAATCTGTGTTGATTGGTGAACCATAATAGTTACATTGAGCCTTATAGACTTCGAAAAATCCATGAGCTAATCCTGGATCGACTTGATCAATTTCTGGTGGGGTTCTTTCTGGTGGCAAAATTAAAAGATTTGGTGAAGCTTCTTGTGAAAATGTATAACTAATTTTATGAAAAGCATTAATTAATAATTTTGGAATTATAATACCAATATTTGATCCAGTCATATCAATTAAAAACTTTGAAAATTTTAATACAACCTAAAAAATTAAATTTAAGATTAAAAAAAGTTAGTATTAATTAAAAACTATATTTGTATTATACGGAATAATGAAAATATTTACTCTATCAATATCATCACTTCTAATTTCAACTAAATCATATAAATGACCTTCTCTTACAACTTGCTTTTTACCACCAATCTTATTTCTTTTAATTGAATAAATTCTATATTTGGTTAAAACAAAAAGACGATCTTGAACAACATCCTTTTTATTTGTTTTCTTTACCCAAAGGATAAAATCTGGATCTTGACCCTCTAAATCAAAAACAAATCTCTTTTCACCTGGTGATAATTCTGAAGATGCCATTCTTTCTTTAATTATTTCTCTTTTACTTTTTTTTTTTCTAAATCTACTAGCTTGATAGCTGGTGTTATTATGATTACTATTGCTATAATAAAAGTTTATAGATTTATTTGAATCTAGGGTATTAAATTTACTATTACTACTTGAATCTGTACTGATACTACTTTGACTACTATTTAAACTTGTTAAGCTTGTAAAACTCGTTAAACTTGTTAAGCTAGTACTACTGATACTATTATTTAAATTAGTTGAATTATTATTATTATTATTATTATTACTATTACTTTTCTAATGTTTAAAGGTAAAATTGAATTAATAAATAAATATAAAATAAATAAATAAATAGGAAAAAGAACAATAAAATAATGTGATTCTATTACACTATACTATTATAAAACAATAGCATTGAAATAAAAAAAATAAAAAATAAAAAATAAAAACTGAAAAAAATAAAAAATTAAATAAATAAATAAAAAAAAGATATATACATTGGTGTGTGAGTGTGTGAAATTTTATGAGTATACTTTTTGGGTTTAGGTGTGGTGTATTGTGTGTTAGTGTGGTGTATTTGGATGAATGGGGGGGTTTTTATTTTTATTATTATTTATTATGTGTATATGGGATATTATGATATAATTTATAAATACAAATAATATTTATTTGTTTTATTTTTTTTTTGTTGTGTGGGAAGGAAAAAGAAAAAAGAAAAGAAAATAAAAAATAAAAAATAAAAAAAGAAAATGGAACCAAAATTGTCTCGTTATACATACAACTAACAAAAATAATGCACAAAAGTAAAAATAAATTTTATGAAATATAAAAAAGAAAGAAAAAAAAAATGGAAAAAAAAAATATCAAAAATTTTCTTTTGCTTTTATTTTTGAGATATTTTTTAAAAAAACACTTGTGTGTGGGTATTGATGATTAATATATTTTGTGTGTGGTTTCCTCCCACAATTTTAAAGGTTGACCAAAATAAAATAAAAAAATAAAATAAAAAATAAAAAAACAACAGATATCTTTTGAAACAAAAATCCATACACTATTATTATTATAAATTAGATTATTTAAATTGGTGGTGCTATAGTTTAAATTATTATTTCTATTAGTAATGCTTTGATTTAATATTGCTAAAAACTCTTCTGATGACAAATTATTTAGATCTTTAACAGTATTATTGTTATTATTTTGATTATTGGTTAGATAACTATTTAAGCTAATACTACTCATATTAGCATAATTATTATGAAAACTATTAACACTATTATTCATACTATTATTATTATTATTGATATTTTTAGAAATAGGGTTATTATAATTCTTATTCTCCACTGAGACATTATTGTTATGATTGTTATGATTGTTTTGATTATGACCATTATCTTTATTTAATTTATTTATGTTATCATTTAAACCTTGATGGTTTTGATTATTATTTACATAACTAAAATTATTATTATTATTATTGATATTATTTACACTATAATTTTTAGCATTATTACTTATATTATTTCTGTTTATGGTATCATTATTTATGCTATTTATATTATTTATGTTTCTATTACTGTTTCTGTATGTATAATTATAGTATTGACGATTATTATTGGTACCACCATTATATGTATAGTTATATTGAGGGGTTTGTGGTTTCATTTTTTTAATATAAAATAAAAAATTTTAAAATATATAAAATTAAAATAAAAAAAAAAAATAAATAAAATAAAATAAAATAAATAAATAAATAAATAAATAAATAAATATATATAAACAAAAAGAAAAAAAAGAGAGAAAAAAGAATAAGGAAAAAAAATTACTATATTCTCTTTTTTTTTTTTTTTTTTTTTTTTTTTTTTTTATAATTAAAATTTAATTATATAAAAAATATACAAAATACAAATTATATCTATATTTATGTATAAAATTAAAAGGTATTTTTATCATTATATCAAAAGAAAACACAAAAAAAAAAATTGTGTGTGTTTATTGTGTGGTTGGAAATAATTGTGGTGGGTGTATTGTTTTAATAACATTATTGTTATTATTCTTTATATGTTTATTTTTAGTATGTTATAAATAATGTGTTGTTGTTTTTGTTGTTGTTGTTGTTGGATTTGTGTGTGTTTTATTTTTCATATTTTACGAGGTTTTTTTAACAAAAATATATTGTCCGGGTTTTATTGTTTTTTATGTAAAAGATGGATAGATATTATTTTTTTTTTTTATTGTATGAATTTTTGTATTTTTTGGTTTTAAAGTTTCAAATACCCATCCATTAATTAACTGACTATTTAATGTTTGATATGATAATTTTAAAAATAAAGATGAAAAGGTTTATAAATGTATTTATTTTTTAATGAAAAAAAATTCTAAAAAAAAAAATGAGGTAAAAATAAATTTTTTTTAAAAAAAAAAAAAAAATTTTAAAAAATAAAAATTTAAACCAAAATATAAAATTTTTTTTCTAACGGCAAGCAATGAGATCTCTGATTCATATTAAAAATTTAGATGACCAGTTTTATTTTTTTTTAATTTTCCTAATACCAATCATAATCCAAAATTTTCTATATAAAACTTTTTTTTTTTTAAAAAAAAATAAAAAAATAAAAAAAGAAAAGAAGAAAAAAATAAAGATATAAATTTAAAGATATAAAATTAGAGATTGTATTTTTAAAATTTTTTTTTTATTTTTATTTTTTTTATTTTTTATTTTTTTTTGTTATAATAATATTATAATTATTATTATTAAAAAAAAAAGATTTTATAAATAAATTAAATTGAAGAATATAATAAATAATTATTTAAAATTATCTTTTATATTACTATATACAGTGTGTAGTTTTGTACACTAATTTTTATACCATTTTTGATTATTTCTTTTGTTTGTGATTAAAGACCTTCAATCATTGTTTTCGAATTTTCAATTAAATGAAAATTGATTGGTTTTTTTTGGCTATTAATAGTGTTATTATTTTGGTCTTCGTTTAGAGTCTTGTTATTTATTTTTGGTTGATTTTGAGTATTTAAAAGGTTTTGGAATGGTGATTGAATTAAAAATGAGTTATTATCATTTGGCACATAATGTGATGTTGATGATGGGGTTGAAAAATATGATGCATTTAAATATTTACTTGGTGTTGAGTTTAAGGTTGATGTAATTGCTGATGTCAGTGTTGAAATTGATGTTGATGATTGTATGGTTGTCGAGGCTAATAACGATGATGCTAAAATTGGTGGTGAAGCGGATGAAGGAGAGGAGTTAGAGGAAGACAAGGTCGAGAGATTAAAGGATGAGGGTGATAATGATGTTGATGATGAGTCTGAAGATAAACCTAAAATTTTTCTTGCTTTTGTAAATAATGATTTGTTTGGATTTTCCTTTAAGAGTTTCAATGCAATGAATGATGAGTCCATTTGTGGTACAGTTGAAGTTGAGGTATTGGTTAGGTTACTATCATTCATCATAGAATCACTATCATCGCTCACTATATTATTATTGCTTATGTGTGTATTATCTAAACTTTTATTCTTTTCATCTAAACTGTTATTATTGTTTTGTTCTATATTATTTACGCAAATTGAATTATATGTATTGGTTGCTGTTGTCGTACAATTGTTTTGTTGCTGTTGTTGTTGTTGTTCTGTAATATTATTTTGATGATGGTTGTATGGTGAATAATATGGATTTTCAAACTCCATTGGATACGAAAAAGATTTTGGTGTTGAAATTCTTGATTTAAATTTCGTTTTACCTGGTGTTGTCAATGGTTCTAATGTTGTTGATAAAATTGCTGATGATGCTGGTGTTAAAACTGATGAATATGATACAATATTTGAATGACTTGGAGTTGAAATGGTTGATGAATTGTTTAATTTGGCATTTATGGTTGAAAGTGAGGTTTTATCGATTCCTTTATCAGAAAGTAATTGGAAACCTAAAACTTTATTATTCTTTGTAAAACTGTTTGATAAATTTGCTGTTGTATTCGCAGTTGATGTGGTGGTTGCGGTGGATGATGTTGGTGTTTGGATTTGTTTAAACGGAGATTCAAGATAGTGGCTATTGTTTTGGTTGGTGGTTTGTATTGGAGATGTAAAGTGATGTTCATAGGTTGCTTTGAATGGTGATGAAAGATTTTTTGAAGGGGTGAAATTAAAATAGTCTAAATGGTTTTTGCCTGGTGTAACAGGGAAAGAGCTTGGGTTAAACGATGGTGATCTAAAAGGTGAAAGTGAACTATCTAAAAATGAGGCATTTTCTTTGTTTTTTTGAATTGGTGAATAGAAAACTTCAGGGAAATTTGATCCATATTCTAGATAATCATTGTTATTTTTCTATTGATAATAAAGTTAGTTCAATAAAAATATTTAGAAGTAAATCATAGTGAAAATATGTAACTTACATGTGGTGATGAAAATTCAGATTTTAATCTTTTATTTTTACTTGCACTATTTGTTAATGATGCTCCACCCGAGAAAAACTTAATTGGTGTTACTATTTTTGACATTAATTCATTTGATGGTTTATTACGTGATGGACTATTATTTTGGTTATTTAATATATTTGCTGTTGAGCTTGAAATTGGTAGTAATGGTGTTTTATTATTATTTATAGTATTTGTATTACTATTCATATTCATATTAATACTATTGTTGTTATTTATATTGGCTATATTGTTTATATTATTTAAACTATTTATATTATTTAAATTATTTAAATTATTTAAATTATTTAAATTATTTATATTATTTATATTTATATTATTTATATTATTTGAAGAAACCAAACCATTGGATATAAAACTTTGGATTGGTGGTTGACCTATGCTATCATTGTTGTTTATATTATTTGCATTATTATTTATATTATTATTAATATTATTAATATTATTTGTAATATTTTTGAGTGGGGTTTTATTTATATTTTTAAGAATCGATGTTGCTATATTATTTACGCCACTATTATCTTCATTTTCAATATTATTTGATTCAATTTCTTTTAAACTTCTTTTTTTTGATTCTTTGGATCTATTTTCTTGAGATTTAGATGTTGAAGGTATTGGTGTTGATTTTGTTTTTGATTTTGATTTTGATTTTGTTGATGATGATGATGAAGTGGAAGTGGTTGTAGTGGTGGTAGTTGTTTTTGAAATATTTAAATTTGTAGGAAAAGTCATAATAGTATCTTGGGACGAGGATGAAGACGAGGAGAATGAGGATGATGGTGATGGTGATGATGGTTGTAAAGCCTGCTGTTTTGCTAAAGTGCTTCTTTTCATTGAGGAGTTCCAATGGTTTTTAATTGCATTATCGGTCCTACCTGGTAAATGTTTGGCGATTTCAGCCCATTTATTACCATGAATTGCATGCTGTTCTCTGATTAAATTATCTTCCTCTTCGGTCCAAGCTTCTTTTTTGATATTTGGGTTGAGATGATTATGCCAACGTTCACGACACTGTTTACCCATTCTTCCTTTAAGATGTAATGCTATACTTGACCATTTCTTTGGTCCATATTCTTTAACTAATTCAATAACTTTTTCATCCTTTAGAATAAAAATATTAATATATTAATAACTTTAACAAATTTATTACCTATTAATTATTAAATTTAATAACCTACCTCCTCTTTGGTCCATGCACCTTTTACTAAATTTGGATGAAGTACTTTTTGGTATCTGTGATGACATTGAACATCTGTACGGTCTGGAAAGTGTTCTGCAATTTTTTTCCAATTCTTTTGATTATGTAGTGTTACTGCTTTTATTAATATTTCATCCTAAAATAGTTTGGAAATAAATTAGTATATGGTTTACAGATATCTTTATATTTATTGTGATTAAATAAATATTTTTTATTTTAAAAAAAATTAAATTTTTTTTAAAAATTTTTTTTTTTTAAAAATTTCCATAATAAAGAATAATATGAAAATTTTAAATAAGCTACAACCTCTATATGGAAATATATTATACTTACTTCTTCTGGTGTCCATTTACCTTTAGTTTTCTTTTTATCTAATGATTTTTCGGAATCAGTATTATCATCTGTAATATCATGGGCTGATAAATTACCGCTTTCATCGATATCATTATTTGTATTTTTCATTTTGTATTTGTGTAATATATTGGAACTGTTATTATTATTTTATTATTATTTTATATTATTGGTTTTTGATTCTTTTAACAATCGTATCTTTATGTTTATATGTTTATATCTGAAATAATAAAATAATAATAAAAATTGTGTATTATTTATTTTTTATAGAGTGTCATATGGTAGAGGTAAAAATACTACTATTAATTATTATTACAATGTTTTGGAATGATATTTTTAAAGAAAACACATGTAATGATATTTTGTGTATGTTTATATGTGGAGAACTATATGGTAGTAATATATTAATAAAAAAATAAAGTTGGAGAATAACTAATACTATTTAAACATGTATTTATTTGGTAGTGAGGTTGTTGTGTATATATAGTATTTTTGATTTTAACTATTTATTTTATTTTTTAATACAACAATAAAAAGTTTAATAACAGTTTTCGTTGATAAATTGAAAAAAAATAAAAATAAAAAAAAATTTTAAAAATTAAAAAATAAAAAAAATTTTAAAAAAAAATAATAATTTAAAAAAAATAATAAAATAAAAAAAAAGTATTATATTAACTATTAAAATCCTATGTGAATATATACTATATCGTATAGTGTTTATCTTGAAATAGTTAAAAATAAAAAATAAAAAAATAAAAAAGATAGATTTAATTATTGATTATGTTGTGATATTTTAAAAATAGTAAAAATTTGTGGATATGAAAAATAATTATTGAACTTGAGTGCGAGAATAATTGAGTTTTGAATTTTAATTTTTGGACAATAAAAACTATTATATGAACGGTTATTGGAATAATAATTATATAAAAACGATATAGAATATAACAAATAATAAACTTATGCAAATATATATTAAATATGATTGATTTATAATTTATAATTATTACTATTATTAATATTATTGATTATTACTTTTTATATTACTTTTTTATCTTGTGTAAACTTTGGTAATATTTTATGATTTTATGAATCATATGATTATTATTATAACAGTGTATTATATAATTTTTAGATTAAATTAAATGCAAATGAGATAAAGTTTTATCTATTGGCTTTCTCTTGTATGGATATTATTATTTATATTTATAATGAAATTAAATATACATGTATTTTATATAAAATATTTGTGTGCTTTTTTTTTTTTGGTTTTTATTTATATTTATTATTTA